TTTAGAACAGTTGAAGTTTCTCCAAGATCCCACACAGCAAGAGGAGGAGCTGGTATTACCCACTACCTAATGTATCACCCACAAGTTAGTGCCCAAGGAGTAAAGAGGAAGGGCCTGTCTAAAAGCTCAAATTCTCTAGTTCCTCAATGCAAGGATTGTTGATGTGTGTGCTAATATTCCTGATCCATGGACTCCCCCTGCAGCCCCCTTGCACAGATGTTCAGACACTGTAACTCAGATCAGCCCTTCCAGTCACCACCCCTGCATCTTCTGTGTACCCTAGTATAAGTAAGACAAGCAGAGGTTGTGGGTAGGAAAGAAAAGTGGGCACAGAGGGCTCCACCAGGGTTGTAAGCCAGTGTAATAAGCAAATACATTACTCACCAACTGTTCAGCCAGAGGCTGGAGTAGAACTAGCTGGGAGTAAAAGCATTGTTGTGGTGCCCTCTGCTGGGCACGTGTTGCTTGTAATGAATTTATGGCAGAGCCACGCCTGGGTCCCAGAACTGTCTTTTCCACCCTGGCTGGAGACTGCAGGCCTCCAGTGTCTTGGGACCTGTTGGAGACAGCACTGTTGGGCCTTTTGTGATTGTCGGGGTGTAGTTTTTTTCTAGTGTGGAACCACGATTTGCCTGAAATGGAGTATTCTTATAGCCTGGCATCCCCTACTTTCTGCTATTCGGACCAGAGAGGGAGTTTTCATTTGTTAGTCTTGGCTTTTGTAGGGAAGGAATGGGGGAGAATTTTCATCCCATAAAAAAATGGACCCCAGCCACCACATATACACACAAGTCTAAGCCACTGCAAAATTAAATATTAAATATTGTTTCTCCTTTTTAAACTTGTATTCAGTGATTTCCAGTGAGGAGCTTGTAGGTTTTTTTTTAAAGGCCAGATACAGTAAATGGCTTCTATGAGGCTGCAATAATACTGCATCTGGCAACGAGGCTGTCAGCTTCATAAGGGCCAGCACCGTGTCTCACAGCCTGAAAGTTCAGTCATAGACATGCTACCAGGATCACACACAAAAGGCCATCCCTGCCCTCATGGAGTGCACTGTGTGTGGAAGACACAGCAAGTCCGTGCACATCTGTAACAGTGTGGGCAGAGCTATGTGACCACACAGGAGGGGAGGCCTTGCCAAGCCCCAAGGTGCAGCAATGCCAAGGGGGTGTCCCTCTTGATATGTGGAGGTTTGCCATAAAATGATGCTTCCTTCACTTTTAATAACTTCACTTGCCAGTTGACCCCCATCCTCAATCTCTGTCCTCTCTGAAAGCTGCTCGTTTTCTGTCCGATATTTGGCAAAATCGCAGAATGGCTCTGAATACCTAGCCCTGTGAAAACCTTCAGTGTTGTCAACCTGCGTCATCCAAATGGCTCTGAACACTCGGGATAGGGTCCGTGCTTGCTGTGCCCTCACAATGAAGGAGGTGACACTGAGCCGAAAGCCACTTCACATGTGTTTGGCTTGGCTCTCCTCCAAGTAAAACCTTGCTCTCCAGGATGTAAGTGTAGATGATAGTGAGCTCCTTTTCATTTCTTTCTCTTACTTTCCAATTTTTGTCTAAGAAGTTGGAAAAAAACATAGGCACTTTGAAAACCCACTTTGTAACCATTCACTCAACAGCAAACATTCATGATTTCCAATTCTGTACCAGTCAGTGACTGTGCCAGGGGCTACAGATATCACTGCTAAAACAAATTACCCTCAGTTGCTCCACAGTCTAGTGGGGGGCCCAGCTTAGAAAAGAGATGTTTGCAGGAATGCAGTAAAACGTAAGTGTAGAAGCAGCCCAGGACTCCCAGCCCAGCCTGGAGAAGGGGGCAGTTGGTAGATTTCCCACAGGCCATGGTCTGCTTGAATATTTACAAACAGAGGCTATGGGTAGGAAACCTTATCAACACACAGTGTCTTGAGGAGCTGATAAGATGGGGAGAGCTCATCACCACTGGGTTGCATTAACCTATGACCATTGCATCAAAAGGCAGGTCTGAAGGCCCATCATGCTCTAACCTCTATATTTGAAGGGATAGAAGCAGGTTGTTAACACTTGGTTCACAGCTATGGGGGTCCCATATTTGTTCTGTAATCCCACCTTCCTCCTAGATAACCCCAAGGTCTCCTGGGGGAAGTAGCGGTTTCCTATGACTCTTTCTGAATCTTAACTGGTCTGCACCACCATTCTCCAACAGAGTGTACCAGACGCCCTGTATGTGAGGGCTCCTGGGCCCTGGCCTGGCCTGTTACAATAGGGATGCTGGGTTTTGATCCTCCTCAGTCTCTTTCTTCCCTCAGACTGGTTCAGAGTCCTTTGGAGGCAAGCCCACTGAGTGCATCTTTCTCTTCCCAACCCCTCATCTTAAAGCTCAGTGTTGCCACCCAAGTATCGTGTGCTCATTTCTGCTGTCTTTCTTTGTTATCCTCTCATACCTTTTTTTTAAGCTACCATTTATCATACAGTTTACTGTGAGTGCAGGGCAAGGCTAAGTTTCCACATCTCTCTAGGAATTCAGTCACTTGGCCAAGGTAGTATAGCCAAGGTGGTCAGGGAGCCCAGGCACAGCTGACCCCGGGGTCCAGCTCCAAAGCACCCCATGGCCCTGCCCACAGCTCTTCTCTGAGAAAGCTGGCCTTTGTCTCGTAGTCTAGGTACCTGAGGGAAAGAGAAAGTGAGGAAATGAGCACATTTTGCACTGGGACAGAAGTGAGTGGGGGCTGCTGGTGCTGACATCAGCCAGCAGGTGGAAGCCCACTGCAAAGGGCCTGAGTTTGAGATCAGGACTTTGACACTGTGATCGTAGATGCTTTCGGTAGCTTTGTGACTATGCCCTTTCCCTTCTAAGGTTACCAATGTAAAAACAGCAAAAGAGATAACCGGTAAAATATAATTCCTTCATGAAATGGCGAAGGAAAACTTTAGTCTCTGTTTGATAAAATCCTCTATACAACATTTGAGCTTCACAATACAACATATATGTAATGCAAATATAAAATGGATATATGTATGTAATGCATACATATATAATGCATACATATATAATGCATATATAAAATAGATATATGTGTGTAATGCATACATATATAATGCATATATAAAATAGATATATGTGTGTAATGCATACATATATAATGCATATATAAAATGGATATATGTGTGTAATGCATACATATATAATGCATATATAAAATGGATATATGTGTGTAATGCATACATATATAATGCATATATAAAATGGATATATGTGTGTAATGCATACATATATAATGCATATATAAAATGGATATATGTGTGTAATGCATACATATATAATGCATATATAAAATGGATATATGTGTGTAATGCATACATATATAAAGCATATATAAAATGGATATATGTGTGTAATGCATACATATATAATGCATATATAAAATGGATATATGTGTGTAATGCATACATATATAATGCATATATAAAATGGATATATGTGTGTAATGCATACATATATAAAGCATATATAAAATGGATATATGTGTGTAATGCACACATATATAATGCATATATAAAATGGATATATGTGTGTAATGCATACATATATAATGCATATATAAAATGGATATATGTGTGTAATGCATACATATATAATGCATATATAAAATGGATATATGTGTGTAATGCATACATATATAATGCATATATAAAATGGATATATGTGTGTAATGCATACATATATAATGCATATATAAAATGGATATATGTGTGTAATGCATACATATATAATGCATATATAAAATGGATATATGTGTGTAATGCATACATATATATAAAGCATATATAAAATGGATATATGTGTGTAATGCATACATATATATAATGCATATATAAAATGGATATATGTGTGTAATGCATACATATATATAATGCATATATAAAATGGATATATGTGTGTAATGCATACATATATAATGCATATATAAAATGGATATATGTGTGTAATGCATACATATATAAAGCATATATAAAATGGATATATGTGTGTAATGCATACATATATATAAAGCATATATAAAATGGATATATGTGTGTAATGCATACATATATATAATGCATATATAAAATGGATATATGTGTGTAATGCATACATATATATAAAGCATATATAAAATGGATATATGTGTGTAATGCATACATATATAATGCATATATAAAATGGATATATGTGTGTAATGCATACATATATAATGCATATATAAAATGGATATATGTATGTAATGCATACATATATACACATATTGCATATATACATATAATATATGTATGTGTATATATAATGCATATATAAAATGGATATATGTGTGTAATGCATACATATATATACACATATTATGTATATATAATATATATATAATACATATATATATATATATATAATGCAATTCAAATGTGCTCCTGTCAGTCATTTGAATTTCCATTTCTGCCACTTTTTCTTAGGTTAGAGTTTGATTTTCTTTCTCTAATTCAGGGACTACATGAGAATCTGCTGCAGTAGTCCTCTGCTGTGGACACACCATACCTAGCTCACTTCTCTATTACAGCATGTACACTATGCTATAACTGTACCGACACTGTGGGAACTCTTCAGGTTTGGGGGTCTTTGAGGAGAAGATGCTTTCCATTTTGCATGCTCTACAGCAACTCATCCCGCACAGTTGGCCCTGGGAAATATTGGTTACAAAAGTGGTGGATAAGAAAGGGCCATATGAGAGCTGGCCCCGTAAGATTCCACTACATCTCATTCTTTCTACTAGGCCTGGCTGACTTACAAGGGAATAAACATTTGTGCCATTACATGGCATTATATTCTGATTTACAGTTTTTAAGGTTCACATGAGAAGAGCCATTACCATTAAACGTGTTTTCTCCATACTCTACAGTGTCTGCCCCCAAAAGCTGAAGGCACACCTCCCAGGCACTGTGCCTTATGAGCTCATTCCTTCCTCCCTTTTCTTTCCACAGCGGTCCCAGTCTGCCTTCTCAGTCACTGGAGAAGATGCCCTGAAGACCCCTCCAGTGGAGGCTGCATCAAGGCAGCCAGGGGACCAAGGCCAGCACCCGAGAGCTGAGTCTGCTCTGCCTAGCTGGAAGAGCGTGGACAGACTGGATGAAACGAGTAACTGTTTTAAGTAGCATCTGGTTGGTCTGTGGGTTTCACAAGTGCGGTTTGGAGGCTTCTCAGCTATTGCATGGCCACTCAGCTCTTCTTCCCGTAGGTCTGAACTGGTGTGTGTCCCTCTGGGCCACCAAGTCATGAGGCCTCCAGCACAACACACAGTGTATATACTGTGATCATGTTCTCCACCCAGGCAGTTTTCTTAGCTGCTCTGGCAAAATGAAGGCTGTTAGGGTTTCATCATATTCTGTGGTCTGTGCTGAGACCTATGGGAGGGGGTGGGAGGCTCCTGGACAAGTATGTTCAAATCACTCCACTGCACACCCCACTTCAGCTGCCTGTTCTCTGTGGACTAGGAGAATGTGTCTTATGTAGGCCGGGAGCATTAAACCAACCTCTCATGGCATTTCAATTTTCAAAGGAATTTGGGTCCTAGCATAGGTCTGGTTTTGCGGATGTCCTTTCTGAAACTGGGTGAGTTAGTTAGGGTCGCATATGCACCATAGCAGGTAAACTGGATATGTAAGCGGCTGAATGCAATTATTTCCCTTTCATCATACAGCAGTGCAGTACAAGTACCCCTGGCCGGTGGGAGGCCTTCAGAGGCCAGGGTACCAGGTTCCCGCCTTGTGGCTCTGTCATCCTCTGGGGCCTCTGAGTCTTTTGCGGGCTTATCCACATTCAGACAGCAGATGGAGGAAGGGAGAATGGAAAAGACAGGCACCTGCTTCTTAACCATCTCAGCAGGGAGAGCTCACACCACTTTCACTCACAGCCTTTGGACAGGAACTTGTCGTATGGCTCCACCTCAATGCAGGAGGCCCTGAGAAGTGGCATCCTGGCTGGGCAGATGCATACCAGTAACACGGCTGGGCTGTGAAAGAATCTTTGGTGGGCAGTTGTCTGTCCATGGCATTGCTGTTCGCTGGCACCTCTGCTCTTGCTGCTTCCTCTCCATAGAATGTCCTGCCTCTATGTAGGGCAAGTCAGCTGCCTCTTTAGAGACTCTTCAACGTGTATGCCACGTGGTCCTTTATAAAGCTGTTGACTCACGTAATCCCTTAAAATGAAGGGGCTCAAATGAACTGAGTCATTTTCCTAAAGTCTCACATCAGAAGACCCTGAGATGCTTGGACCCATCACCACAGGTGACAGCTGAGGGCCATGAAACCCCGGTGCTCAGGGGGCCTCTTGGTCTACATGAATGTGAGAGTAAATCTTCCCCACCCCTGCACAGTAAATCTACTCCCTTCTTCCTGTGTCCTGCATACACACATTGTAAAGGGAGGCCAGGCATAACTGTCTCCACATGAAGAAACCATAAACAGCATTCTCACCCATGTCATATCAGATCCACACCCCTTTCCTGAACAACAGAAAGACTAGCAGCAGCTTACATCCTAGTAATAAGCGTTTAAAGATTCTGCTATTATTTCTACTCTAAAAGGGAAAAGATTTAGCCAACAATTAGAGAAACAAAACCCATTGCTATCACAGTGCAAAGTATCAGAAAACATTAAATATCTTTTAACTGTCATTCTAAAGATTTACCAAAAGAGATTATTTTTATATTAACCTTTTTGTACCTATCAGTAGACACTGCAGGGCCATGACGTTGCAGAAATTCTGCAGCACGTGAATGTTTCTTTACTTATGTATATGGTGTCTGTTTTGGGGTTTTAAGTGCATTTTTCTTGTCTAGATATGTCTTTCTTTCTTCCCTCCAACCTCCCAGCCTATTCATATTCATATTCATTCATTAATTCATATTCTCGTTCTCTCTCTGTCTTCTCCCTCATTTTCTCACTTCTCTTTCCTTCTCTATGGATTGCAAATGCACACAGAGAAGGGACTGTTAGATTCCGCAGAGCACATGAGAATACCACATAACAGAACTTCAATACACAATACCTAGCTTTTTAAAACATACAGATTCCATATGTAGGCACTATTTTATTTTTTCCTCCAACAGCGTTGCTAGACACAGTCAGTATTTGGTTTTGCAGATAAGAATATGGATGGACAGTGAAGTTAAGTGATTTGTTCAAGACCCCACAGCCAGCGTAGGCAGAGCTGGTCCTCAGATCCAAGCATCAGGACTCCAGTTTGCAAGCTTTTAACTCTTGCATTTTAAGTGTCTCTCTACCATACAAATAAACAAAAACCATCATTTCAAAATCCAGACTTGCAAAGTGATAAATGTATAGAATATTACACAAACAACTACAAGATGCTCTATTTCACAAAATAGTTTCCAACTGGATTATGAACATTCATAATAAATTTGCTAAGGAATTTTGTCTTCAAAACATGATTTTGTACATAATCCTCTGTAAAATTAGGCACTCATAGGTAATTTTTCAGTTGTATATAAACATAAAACTTACTTCCACAGCATGACACACCCAAAAAAAAGACTTCACATTCTGCTAAAAAATCCATGCATCTCTCAGGATAAAGATGTAAATTTTTTTAAAAAGGACTTGGGTGGAAAACTTCTGGTTTTTCTGAGGAATTTTTAGCCCTTGGCATGCCAAACTGTCCATGCCAGCCTCAGAGGTCTTGAGGGATGTCTGAAACGTTTAGCAGGAAGCAGATTATTCCTACAGGCATTGCTCAGTCTCAGCTGAGCAGGAATGTCAAACAGAGGAGTCCCGGGGATGGAGGTCATCTTAGAAAGGTCATGTCCACTGGGCTATATGTAGCAGCTGTGTTTATGCCTCCGGAGAAGGGTTGATTCAGGAGCCTGCTAGTGCTCAGCTGGGGTCAGTCTAAGGGACACTGTGGTTTGGGTAAACTATAGTAACTCTGCTTTCAGTCTTGAGAGTGCCTATAGCAGTGAATGGGTTTCTCCCAAATGCATTTTCACTTTGTAAACCTTGATTGAGCATCTACTGTATACGCTGCATGTGCTCAGTGTTGGGGAAATAAAGACTGGGGAATTGTCACTGCTCTGGGGCCACTCACTGAGCATCGATAATGGAAGAGCAGGAATTTGGAGAAAGGAGAGGGTGGGGGAGGAAGATCCCCGAGGGGTGTTCCTGATGGACTGAGAGACTGTGGTATTGGAGCACACGTGCAGCTTTAATGATGCAGATCAACAGCCACCGAAGTTTTCACATGCTTGGGTATTCAGGGAGCCATCTGTGTTTTTGCTAAGAAGGCTGAATTTTTGCAGAGGTAAAAGTTGGCCAACTTCTAGCTTCCACAGAGGCACAAGGCAACCTGGGGTTGTAAAACACAGGAGAAAGGGAGCTGGCAATGGGCAGAATTCCATATCCAAATATGGTGTGTGCTAGAGCCCAGAGACCACATTTACAACAGGGTCAACCCTGGAGCCAGGTGCTGAGTGGCATTATCAAGGGATTTCCTTCTTTAGATTCTTCCAAGGGCCCTGGGAGAAGCTATAGACAGCAGGACTCATTGAGAGCTGCAAATCAAGAGCCCCATCATCCCTGCAGCCTTTAGTGCCTGTTTTCATTAACAGGTAGTCTTCATGTTCCCAGGATGGGACACAAAGCTAGCCAGGGGCTAGGAGCACAGCAATGAAGAAGACTTGGCTCTGCCCTCCAGGAGCTCATGGTCAGGATTGAGAGGTGGGGTGAAAAATCAATATAACTACTTATAGTCACACACAGCCTCACTAGCATTCCTGAGAAACCCTTACCACCTGACTGACACTCTCTGGACACAGCATTAGGAGAATGCCAGCAAACAGAAATACTTTTCTCAAGAGACCTGCTATTACCAACACCACAACTAAGAAAATAAACTATAATATAGTTTGAGTGTTAAGCAATAAAAGATGTTGGCAAAGTTCAGAGAGCAGAATAGCCAGCTCCTCGAGGAAGGAAGTCCAAGCACATGCAACTGACAAGCAACTGAGTTGTCTTGAAGACAGTCCAGAGAGCAGCCTCAGTGACAGATTAGAAGGCCCAGAGTGAGCACTCAACAGCCATCCTCAGAGTCTGCTTTGCATCATGTGGGCGTTTTGGTTTGACTCCCACCAGAAGCAGACCCTAATATCCTAATATAAGAATCTGAAGACCTGTAGTTTATTTGGGAGATGAGCCCAGAAAACACATGGAAAGGAGTAGAAATGTGAGACAAGGAAAGAAAATCAGGCAATAAATGACTTGTTACTAAGCAGATGGCCACTGTGGGTAGCCAGAGCTTGACCCCACTGGGGACTCTGAGAGCCAGTGTAGAAGACTCACCTGCCTGACAGGCAAGAGAGCTGGGATGCTTAGCCACCAGCTCCCCTACTCACTGGTTGAGGGCTGCTCCCAGGAGGTGATGAATCCTGGGTACTTCCACCCTGCCCCCGGGGCAGGCAACACAGGCTCTAGTCGCCTGAGCAAGCCTCAAGTGCAGACTTGCAAGTGCTGGCAATTGGAAGTCCAGCTGGCATACACTGAAGTGGTGAGGGCCAAGGTTTAGGTTAGGGCACCCACAGAGCCTGCTACAGGAAAAATCAATATAACTACTTACAGTCACACACAGCCTCACTAGCATTCCTGAGAAACCCTTACCACCTGACTGACACTCTCCGGACACAGCATTAGGAGAATGCCAGCAAACAGAAATACTTTTCTCAAGAGACCTGCTATTACCAACACCACAAGTAGAGCCCAACAATAAATGGTAATAGTAACCCTAGTAAGCCACTCTTCTGAATAATTCCATTGCCAATGAAAATAGTGTTACTGTATAGATACTAATATGTAATACTGAATAGTACCTATCAGATATGTATCTCTTTTCTATATACATACATATGGAGTGCATGTGTGTTAATTCATAACCAGTTGTTCAATACTAATGCTAAATCCAGTTAAACAGATATAAGATAAAAATAGCTCAGGGCCCTAAGTATAGCAGGCACTAGGACTGATGCTTTGCACGTGTTATCTCAAAATAATCTAATGACAGCCACAGGTGGGCCACACTGACCCCACTGTTGGGCAAGAGAGTAGACCCGAGATGGGTCACACTGACCCCACTGTTGGGCAAGAGAGTAGACCCAGGGTGGGTCACACTGACCCCACTGTTGGGCAAGAGAGTAGACCCAGGGTGGGTCACACTGACCCCACTGTTGGGCAAGAGAGTAGACCCGAGATGGGTCACACTGACCCCACTGTTGGCAAGAGAGTAGACCCAGGGTGGGTCACACTGACCCCACTGTTGGGCAAGAGAGTAGACCCAGGGTGGGTCACACTGACCCCACTGTTGGGCAAGAGAGTAGACCCAGGGTGGGCCACACTGACCCCACTGTTGGGCAAGAGAGTAGACCCGAGATGGGTCACACTGACCCCACTGTTGGGCAAGAGAGTAGACCCAGGGTGGGTCACACTGACCCCACTGTTGGGCAAGAGAGTAGACCCAGGGTGGGTCACACTGACCCCACTGTTGGGCAAGAGAGTAGACCCAGGGTGGGCCACACTGACCCCACTGTTGGGCAAGAGAGTAGACCCGGGGTGGGTCACACTGACCCCACTGTTGGGCAAGAGAGTAGACCCAATGTGGGTCACACTGACCCCACTGTTGGGTAAGAGAGTAGACCCGGGGTGGGCCACACTGACCCCACTGTTGGGCAAGAGAGTAGACCCAGGGTGGGCCACACTGACCCCACTGTTGGGCAAGAGAGTAGACCCGGGGTGGGTCACACTGACCCCACTGTTGGGCAAGAGAGTAGACCCGGGGTGGGTCACACTGACCCCACTGTTGGGTAAGAGAGTAGACCCGGGGTGGGTCACACTGACCCCACTGTTGGGCAAGAGAGTAGACCCAGGGTGGGCCACACTGACCCCACTGTTGGGCAAGAGAGTAGACCCAATGTCAGCCACACTGACCCCACTGTTGGGCAAGAGAATAGACCCGGGGTGGGTCACACTGACCCCACTGTTGGGCAAGAGAGTAGACCTGGGGTGGGTCACACTGACCCCGCTGTTGGGCAAGAGAGTAGACCTGGGGTGGGTCACACTGACCCCGCTGTTGGGCAAGAGAGTAGACCCAAGGTGGGTCACACTGACCCCACTGTTGAGCAAGAGAGTAGACCTGAGGTGGGTCACACTGACCCGACGTGCTCTCTAACCAGGGTCACCTGCTAGTAAATTAAGTAGCTGAGGATCAGCCCTGCACCTGCTTGAATCCAAAGCTGTTCTTTGCCCTACACCAAAGCAGCCTCCTTCATTTATAGATAAGGGGAAAGGAGCCATCAGGAATTCATCCCCTTTCTGGGCATGTGTAACACCCTCATGAGCGTCCCCTCATGCAGTCCTCTGACAGCCCATTGAGATATTAGCTATACCCTTTTCACCGGTCAGAGAACCGAGGCACAGAGGATCACATCGCTGCCAGGCGACTGAGTAGGGCTTCCCCTCGGCTGACTTCAAGGCCACTGCTCTGGGACAGAGCAAGCTAATTTCCTCCAAGGATGAAGAGATGCCCGAGATCCAGGCCCTGCCTCAGGGACCATGTCCTCATGCTCAGCAGGTGTGTGACAGCCAGAACACATGGAGGAACGTGGAATGAGCCAGCCAGGCCCTCACACCAGGAGAGCTCAGAGAGGAGAGGCCATGTCCAGCAGGGATATGAGAATACACCCCAGGAAAAGGCCATTCTCACCAGTGGGATGAGGTGTGGTAGGGTCACTAGGGCCTCACTACATGGAAGTGGTGGAGGGGGACACTGAAGGCAGGAGGAGCAGGAGAAAGGCTGGTGCGTGGTCTCAGGCTTCTTGGAGGCCCCTGCTTACGTCAGCCCACTGCCAGGGCCCAGTGTCCTCCTCGTCAGAGAAAGCCCCACTTCCTGACTCTCAAAATAAAAAGAACTCAATGTCCTGCCAGTCCGAGCTGCAGTCAGGCAGTGGAAGTGGAACTGGGTCGCTGTTGAAAACGTATGTTCCACCAACATCTGAATTCCCCCAAGGCTGTGGTTCTGAAACAGGCTTAGCAGGTACAATGCTCTGTGGGCAGCACTGTGAAATACTGATAGCTTTCATTTCATTATGTGGAGCAGTGGCAGTTTAACTGGCAGAAAAGCTGTGTGTTTTAAATAGCATGAAGGAGGACTCTGCCTCAAGGTCCTACTGCAGCAGAGCTTTAGACAGGCCTTCAGCCCCAAAGCAGATGTCCACACCAACTTGGGGAGTGGTTTCTTCAAATCCCAGGAGTCCTCATCACTGCCCCAAGGCAGCTCTGCAACAGTCCTGGTTAAAAAAAAAAAAAAAAAAGACAGCTCCTGCTGGCAACGGCTGTGCCTGAGGCCTCAGTCCTGGGCCAAGTAACCAGAGCTAAAGGAGCAGCATGTCATCTTATTCCCACCCCACAGACACTTGGGAAGAAAGCATTTTCCTGTTCGCCTTAAACAAGACAAAATTATCTTTACCAACCCACCCTCGGCATGGAGATCAACCCTTGGGAACATGCTCTGGGCAGACCTGAGCCCAGTTTAGACCACTCCAGACCATAGTCACGGCCTGAGAGCTGCTCCGGCTGCCCTTGCATGGTGCCTTACAGCTGGCCAAAGGCTTCTGTGGCATAGTCCATAGCCCAGAGCTGCCTCAGAGTCAGGTAGAGGATGCACCTTGAACTCGCTCTACAAGTTAGCAGCTCTGTGACCTCGGACAAGTCATTTAACTTCACTCACCTTCATTTCCTCATCTGTAAAATGAGATTGGAATGCCAAAGCTTTTTGACCTCAAGTACTTTCCAGAGTGAGGCATGTTCTTTGAGTTAAAAATAGACCTATATGCCTATCTCAGGAGACAGTTACCAAGCAGGATCTATAACAGTGCCGAGAGCAGATGCGTTAACCTCTGCAGTATGCCAGGGCAGGTGGTGGAATTGTTTCCCATCAGTGAGGGGAAACTGAGGATCCAAGAGACAAAATTGTAGCCCCAGGTCAAAGAGCCAGAAGCTGGTGCTGCCAGCTGTAGCCCTGTCCCTTCCCCTTCCAAGTGAGCCCAGGGAAGGAACGGGGCAGTGCTGAGGAGACTGAGGTGGCATCAACCCAAGTGGACTGAAACGGGAGACAGATCTCTGAGTTTCTCTCCATCTGTGAAGCACTGGGACCCTGTGAGCTTTCAGGGGATTCCATGGGGACCTTTGACCTCTGCCCACCAACTGGGTTTGCCCTCCTGGGCTTCCTAAAGGCAGCTGCTCTCCAACACCCCCACAAGCCACTCGGGGACGTGACAAGTAGCAGCTTCACCTTGCATTAAAGTAATAACGGCCCCTCTCTGCTTTCTCTGTCCTCTCCACCCACAGACCTGGCCCCAGTTTTGCAGAGCTCCGACGGGAACTGGGTGGCCCTGAAGGATGGTGCTCCACCCCCCACCCGCCTACTGGCCAAGCCTAAGAGTGGGACATTTCAGGCCCTGGAGGTGGCCTCCAGTGTGGCATCTGCCTATGATGAGATGGGCTCCGACAGCGAGGAAGACTTTGACTGGAGTGAGGCCTTGAGCAAGCTGTGTCCCAGGCCCCGGGGCCTGCCCAGGAACCCCCAGCCTCAGCCCACACAGGCCCAGAGCTCTGACCAAGGCCCCATGGCTGCCTCCCCAATCTCTGCAATCTCCCCCAACCCTGAAGCCATGTGCTCTGACTCGGAGACCTCCTCAGCGGGCTCTTCCCGAGAAGTCGGGCACCAGGCCAGACTGTCCTGGTTACAGAGGAAGGCCCCCAGGAACCCTGAAGCAGAGAAGATGCGCCTGCAGGGAGAACTGGATGTGAACTTCAACCCCCAGGCGGCTAGCGGGGAGACCTCGGATAGCAGCGAGCCGGAGGAGGCCCCCCACACCACAGACCGGCGGGCTAGGAGGTGGAGAAGAGCCCGACTGGGCTCAGAAGAGCCAAGCAAAGAGCCATCCTCCCCCAGCGCCCAGCACCGGGATCTGGACACACGTCAGGTAATGGAAGTGCATGCGTGCAAATGCACACACTTTAGGTAGGATGTGCCCTCCTCCAAGCACGAGTGGCATAGAGAGTCCTGGGTTTGGAATCCACAGACCCAGATTCTCATCTTTTTTGATTGGTTTTGCTGCTAAGTAGCTGAGTGACTCCAGACAGGTCACATCAACTCTTTGGGATTCCCAAGTCTTCTTGGGAGATGACAGCCTAGAATTCAAAGTGTGGTTTGTGAAGTGTGGCCCCCAGACCAGGAGCATCAGCACCTCCAGGAAACTCATTAGAAACCTGCAGAATTAGAGATTCTGGTTGTGGGAGATTATTCCTAGCTGTGTCTGTTAGAATAAGGCCTGCTGTCAACTGTACCGTGCACTCAAGTTTGAGGGCCACCAGTCTTAGGTGTAGGGTGAGGGATCCAGAGTCAGGCTGCCTGGGTTCAGATCCAACTGTATGGCCTAGAGCAAGGCATCTCTCTAGTTCTCAGTTTCCTCATCTGTAAATGAAGTTGATGTTAGAACCCACCTCAAAGGATGTTCGTGACAAGGCAAAGAAACATTTATAAAGAGCTAAGCTCTGTCTGAGTGGTGACACTAGGGCTCAGTAAACATTATTTCAATATTCTGTGATTCTTTTTTTTTTTTTTTGAGACGGAGTTTCGCTGTTGTTACCCAGACTGGAGTGCAGTGGCATGATCTCGGCTCACTGCAACCTCCGCCTCCTGGGTTCAAGCAATTCTCCTGCCTCAGCCTCCCGAGTAGCTGGGACTACAGGCACGTACCACCATGCCCAGCTAATTTTTGTATTTTTAGTAGAGACAGGGTTTCACCTTGTTGACCAGAATGGTCTCGATCTCTTGACCTCATGATCCACCCGCCTCAGCCTCCCAAAGTGCTGGGATTATAGGCGTGAGCCACCGCGCCCGGCCTCTGTGATTCTTTAATCCACAGCAGACCCCTTCTCTGGATCCTTGGTGATTCTGCCCACATGGTTTAGTTCATGAAAAATGTGATCAAAGCCATGAATTCAATCCCTTTACAAATGCACTTGTACACACACACACACACACACACACACACAGACACACACACACACACACACAGATGGGTTTGCTTACAATTTCAAATAATTCGTGGACTCCCAACAAGACTAACTTTATATTCTCTAAATACACCCTGCTCATTCCCAGCCCTGTGCCTTTGATTGTGCTGTGCCCTTGCCCTTTCCCCACCTCTTCAGGTGAAGACTGCACATCACTGTCAACCCAATACCAAACCGTGTGGAGCCCATCTGCCATGCCCTGTACCCTTAGTTTGGCCAGAAACTGTCCCCTGTGGCTGCAGACAACTCATGCAGGTCCAAAGTTACGGACCAAGAGTTCACCAGTGTCTTCTACAGGATGTTCTATGAATGCCTCAGACACATCCCTGGTCCTGAGCCCCCATGAAGTTAACTGTGGACTCAGGTCCTCAAGTCACAGAATGTGGCATCACTCCTGACTGACCTGCTAACATATTGCCTAGCAAGGTCTTTTATTTAGTCCAAGCCTTCATTTTCTCCTCTGTAAAACAAGATCATTAAAAAGCTCTCTCATGGGGTTATGATCATAGAATTTTTTTTTTTCATAAAAGGTTTGGTTCAAGTGTGAATCATTACTGTCTAGCTGGACCCTGTTGTCCAGAAACGTGGAATGACTCTCCTCAAGGGATGTTCTTGAGGGTTTGTCTGCATGATTCATTTGCACGTGTAAAATGCCACATCTCCACCTCAGCTAGATACCTGAAGCTTTCTGTTTATTCTGAAGTGGCTTGAAATTGGTCTTCTAGTGCTAATCTTTGCCTCTGCCTCCTGGGGAGTGACCTTGAGCTAATGGCAGTATCCACTCCTCTCCACTAGGTGGGGATGGTGCTGCAATTCCAGAGACATCAAAACCCTGATGTATTTTTTACTGTTAATTATTACGATTTTTTAAATGCAGGTTCTCACTGTATTGGCCAGGCTGGGCTCAAGCAATCCTTCCACCTCAACCTCCCAAAGTGTTAGGATTACAGGCATGAGTCACTACACCAGGCCCTCACCTTTCTAATTCTCCCTTCAATTTCATTTACTAGGGCAGTTTTCTTCTCCAATATTATGCATTTAAATTATGTACTTACTTTTTAATTACATAAATAAATGAATAAAAACAAATGAATATAGTATAAAGTAAAAAAAAAATATTTAAAATATACAGATGCAGTTCCCCTTGACCACACCCTAAATCCCTGTCATCTCCACCAAAATGACTACAAGGGCATTGGGTGTGAATCCATGCAAATCTTGTGCATTCATCCAGAAAGTCCGTTTAGAAATATAGTTCAGTGACTGCGTCTGTGTTCCAGCAAAATTGGCAACATGCCATCCCTGTGCTTCCACCGCTTTCTCCTAACAGTGAGAGAGGTGTCACTGAGGCATCACTGACTTACCCACAAGTGAGTTCACAAACAGTCCGATGACCACAACCAAGGAGGATTTAAGGAGGGAATTTTATTGCCTGCAACAAATAAGGAGGACAGTGGGGACAGCTCCTCAAAGCAGCGCCCTCCTGAACGATGGTGTTAACAGGGCTTTTCTTGGGCTGGTTAGCTGAGTCCTTATATATAGAAGTGGAGTAAAAGCAGCACTGGTGCTGTTGCCCATCATGCTTCTACATAGCAGCCTGTATAGAAAATGGGGAATAAGCTCCTCCCTGGGAGGAAAGTTCACCAAAGTTCATCTCCAACTCTGGCATCTCTGGATCCAAACAGTTTTTGTTTTTTCCTAGACTGGGCTTTTTCCTGGAACTTTTAGAAACAATAAGAACCAAAGGTGCAATAGCAACAAGTGGGTACTTTTTTTTCCACAGTGCATACCCAAAGCCCCCAGGACCCAAGGTTACAAGGCTCACAGAACTAGGCATTCAACCTCCAAAAGATTTCATCAGGATGGTGTATCAAAGGGGGACTGTGGGGATTGAGGAAGTCTATCCGGGTGTGCAATAAGGGAAGCATTGTCTGGAGAGAAGGTTAAAACAATAACAGATCAAATAAAAGTCAGTCTTATTTTCACCTTGCATCATATCCAGACAATTCTAAGCAATGCTAGTGGTAACATATTCTTCCCACCTGGGTCAGTGGCTGCCAACACCCAACTCCTTGACTGCCTTGGTTCACCACTGTTCCATAATGCTAGGTATTTAAAGACTTTTTCAATGTCTTGATTTTACAAACAATACCACAGAGAATAGGATATTTAAAGAGTTTTCCAATGTTTTGGTTTTATAAACAATACCGCAGATCGAAGCACAAACCTCTTTATACAAGTACAAGGAGTGGAACTGCTGACTTGAGGAGTATATGGGTCTTTAGTTTTAAAATAGACTTGCAAATTAAGATTTCACCAGTGTCCAAAACTTCCTAGCAATTTACATAGCCATAACAGTGTGTGAGCATGTTCTCTCATGTTGTCAACAATAGTGTTGTCAGTCTGCTAAATTTTTGCCAATTTTATGTGAAGGCAAAAAGCATTCTCTCTGACTAACATTTTTATAATTGCTACTGAAAGTGAGCATTTTTCTGTGTTTAAAGCTCCTTGCACTCTTCTTTCCTGCATCCCACTAGCCTTGATATGCAGTTTATATTTATGTTTTCATCGATTATCTTATTGGACTATTTGTCTTTCTCTTGATTTTTAGGAATTAGTTTTATTTTCTAATTATATAATAGATTTTAGTTCTTCGATGATTACACATGAAACCATTCTCTTGTCTATTTTTGCCTTAAGTATATTTTACATACAAAGTTTTTTGTTAATAATAATTTATCAATTTTTTTATTATTATCAGTTATTTCCATATTTGGTGCCTTTAAAAGGCCTTAAATTTGCAAGGTTATAAGGACTGTTTTCCCATTTTTTCCTAATCCTTTGTAGTTTTCTATTTTCAATTTAGCCCTTTAGAACATCCGTACTTTACCTCTCTGGGTGATAGGGGATAAGATCTAACCTTCAAATTAAGCATTTGTCACCAAATTATTACTAAATGATCTCTCATTTATCTGATGGTTTCAGATGCCCCTTTAGTATATTTTAACCTCCTTTTATTTCTGTGAGCCAGTTTTACTGTCTATTTTGTTCCATTGATCTAGAAGCCCTATTTCTGTACAAATACTATTCTATTTTAATTATAATAACTTTAGAATATATGTTGCTATCTGATGGATGGTGTTCACCATCGTGGATTTTGTTGATGATGATATTATTTCCTAAAAGTTTTTTGGCTTTTCTCAGTCCTTCACATAAATGATTTGTTAAAACCTGCTTAAGTTGCAGAAAAGTGTTTAAGTTTTGACTGGAATTGCATCAAATGTATGTTTCTACCTGCGAATAATTTGTATCTCTATAATATTAAGCCTTTCCTATCAATAATGTGGTACTTATTCCCATTTATTTACTTTCAGTGAAGTTTTATGGATTTTTTTCAGAGCTTTTATACTTTTTGTCAAGTAATTTTTAATTATCTTTTACATTGTGTTGATAAGATTTTATTTATTACATGTTCTAATTGCTTTTTGCTGGTGTATAGAAATTGTTGATTTCACGTTTACGTCTTATAAAATAGTTCCCTAAGGGATTGTCTTCTCAGTTCTAGTAGTCTGTCAGGTGAATATCTTAGCTGTTCCAGATGGATAATCACATTGTCCGCAATTAATGACACTTACCTTTTTTTTTCATCATGTATACTTATTTCTCTTTCATGTTTTATTACATTGGTGACAAGTTATGCTACACTGTGACATTGTAAGGACATCTGGCATCCTGCCTTTGTCTTGCTGCTGCCCTTAGGGACCTGCTTTCAGTGTTTCACTGTTAAGTATGATGCTTGCTCTAAGTTTATTAGATATTATAAAGAATATCTAATAGAGATATAGATATTATATCAATATCTAAAGAATAGAGAAATTATTCCTAGCTTACTAAACAGTTTAGA